ATTACTGATATATTTATTTGTTATTAATTCATCATGTTTCCTGAGATCGCTGCGTTGTGTAATCTCGATGGCGTAACTTTTCTTCCCAAAAATATATGTGATTTAATTAAATATAAATATCAAGTATCTGAAAACTAATCAAAATGCCAAAGTGATAAGATACTTCCATCTAAAGACACATTGAAAGTTACGTCATCGATGAATCTTCTTATTCATTTGTGCCATTAGCATTTCCTTAAAACTATAAATGTAAGTTATTAAAGTGTCATTGTGTCTGCTCGCTGTAATACGTGACGTGACAATACTGCCAGTCCTTTTGGTTAATAAAATGCTGAGAAAAACTTCTGCTTTAATCCTACATTATCATATAAGCAATTTTTTGTTTGTTTGATTGTATAAGTTTTCACATGATACATGAACATATCATATTCTTTACATATTCAATAATATACTTGCGTTTGTGTGCTTCCTACAAATTAATTCAAATTTATATGTATATAATATAAATATAAAGTTTAGACTCTACACTAGTAGACTCTACTCTAGTACATAAAATATTAGATATTACTATTTAATAGTGTTTATTGTTACATAATATAAATTCCAAAATTTTGTTCAAAATATTATAACAAGAAATTTCTCAAAAAATTAAGTAAAAAAAAATTAATTAAATAAATTGATTAAGTTATGTAAATGTTTTAAGCAGTAGTTTTTGGAATATGAGATCGATTTGAAATATGCGATTAATACATTATGGCCATTTGTTCATGCATTATATGCAATTATATGCAATAATATTAATAAACGTGTATTTTAGCTCACAGGCGAAATGCCAGTAAAAAAGTCTGTAATTGGCATATTCATATCTCAATATCTCAAAAACTACTGCTTGAGATAACAATTTTCAAATAATTCTTTTACTTATTTTTTTCGAGAACTTTCTCCCTCTTGCTGTAATATTATATCATGTATAAATTTATTTATTATATGTACATATAAGTTTATCAATGTAAATTTTTTTTAAATTAAATTATTAAGTTATTCAATATTAATTAAAAAAAAATTAAAACAAATAATAGCTTTTTGTCTATTTTGAAAAAAAAAAAAACAAAAGTACATCTGTTTGTGAATCTGTAATATAATCCGTTTTTCCAATGCTAAATTTTGTTATAAACGATAAAAAGCTGCCAATCTTTAAATTCAATAATATGCAGTTGCTTTTATTGCTCCAATAATTGTTATTAATACTACTTCCTTAACACGTGTAGGAATTACCGCGCATCATCGCTTATCGATCGCATGCCTGGCATGCGTTTTTTTTTTTCGGATTGTATTTGCTTCTTTTCCAAGCCAATATCTATCGTAAATCATTAGTATGTAGATACTTAGTTAACAGATACTTGTTCCAGACGCATGCGCTTTGTGCATCGATTATTTTGCTTGGTGCCAGATATTGCAAACCTCTGACCATGGCAGATTGCCATGCAACCAAGGAAAACAAGTACTCAGTTCTTGTAACCTCGATTGCACGTGTACTTGACAGTATCGGTACACAGGATGCTACCTGAACCTCTTGGGCTTTAAAGAATTAGCGATGAAGAACGTAAAATATATCAGATCAACTGTTGATTTTTGCGCATATACTACAGTTTTATATACATATTAATGTAAATAAAAAAATGAAATTGAATCTTATTGTCATTGTTGATAGCTTACACCAGGTAGTTATATACATTTATATACAAGATAAAATAATACACACATAATACACACAGAATAGTTGCACGTGCCTACGAGCTTTCTTTATGATCGTTAAATGCGAATTTTTCATTTATTTATAATAAGCTAATGCATGAAAACACATTGTCTCTAATTGCGATATATTTAATTTTGCTAATTGATATAATGAATAGTTGACAATTGGATTCTGAAGAAATTAAGCTCGGATATTGAAACTGTTTCAGCGTTAATTAGTGCAATTATTAATTGTTATGCTTCTTTAATTATGGTGTAATTAAGTAATATTTTACCATATTATCAATTATGTTTCTGCATTTATGGATTAAGTATATCATACTTTCTATGATGTTATTTGTATTAAAATTGAAATATTGACACAATGAGACCTATATGTGTATTGACAGATATTTTATAATTTTATTTAAATTGAATATAACAAATAAAAAAAGATATTAGATTTTTTGGAAGTCTTTACCAATGTTGAGAAGACATATTATTGCGATACAACCATGGCATCTGGAAAATCAACCATGGCATCGGCAAAGCCAACTACATGCAAAGAAGCTATACGGCGATGGGAGGAAGAGAATCAACAAAATGCAGCTGCGGCAACAGAAGTAATCTTGAGCTTTCAATGGCCGCCGATAGAAAAGATGGACAACGCCCTGGCAACTTTGATAAATTGTGAAAAACTCTCCCTATCAACAAATATGATTGAAAAGATTGCAGGTAAAGTTCGTAAAATTTAATGTATTACGAAATTGCGAAAAAATTCTAAGTTGCGTAAAAATTCTGTATGATGACTTATGGAATGTTATACGAAATTACACGACACGACACGCGACAATTTCTTTATTAAAATAAAAAAATAAAATAAAAAATAATTATCTTTGCTTTTAATAAGTAATTATATAATATTAATTAATTCTAAAACGTAATCTCTTTTACAAATTTTGAAAGTATAAGGATACATATTCTTATAAAGATAAAGAATTTTTGAAGCTATTTTTCCTTATATGTGTGTGAGATAAAATTAAAAATTAAAATATAAGTCAAATGTAAAGAAAGAAATAACTGAAGCTTCTAGTAGACGAAATTGAGACAGCAAAAAATTAAAAGAGACATTTACGTTTAGAACATTAATATCTATATTCGACTTACGTTTCGATTTTTATTTTTGCTAAGGGTTTTTTTTATCTTGAATAGATCAGCAGTCATTCATGATTTGATCGATTTATGCAAATCATGATACATTTTAGATGTTGCATCAGAAATGATGCATATTCGTGACATCATCGGCGATGCATAATGCATGCATATTCAAGCGTGACTGTTAGTAACGCGACACATCACGATGTAAATATGATTACGATTAATTTCATGTCATTACGAATAGAACATTCGTGCAAGAACACGCATTAATGTTTTCAATTATAGTTATTAATTTATTCATGATAAGAATCAGTTATTCATTATATGTTGTGTAATTTCGTAATTTCGTAATTTCAATTATTCCATTCGTATATAAATTTCAAATTTTGTCGTAGCATATTAAATTTACCTAATGTTTTTTGATACATAATATGCTTTTATTATATAATTTTTATTAATAATTGCTATGATACAACATGCACAATGTTTGTTAATAATAAATTGTAGTAATTTTGATAATAAATTGTAGTAATTTTAACAGTAGCAAAATTATGTGATAGGAAAATATTGTATAGTGTGCAAAAAATTAATTTTAAAAAATTGTTTTTTGTAGGCATTGGAACTCTGAAAAATTTGAAGATTTTGTCATTAGGTCGTAATTTAATTAAAGGATTCGCTGGTCTTGAACCTTTAGGCGACACTCTCGAAGAACTTTGGATTTCCTATAATTGCATTGAGAAGATGAAAGGTATCCAGGCAATGAGAAATCTTCATGTACTTTACATATCTAATAATTTGGTGCGAGAATGGAACGAATTTGCAAGGCTACAAGAACTTGTAAATCTTCGAGATCTAGTTTTTGTTGGTAATCCGTTGTATGAAAGTCTCGAGGTATCTATCACATCAATGTATTTGTTAATAAATATTATAAGACATAATATTTTTATAATTTTTGTGTCTTTTTATAAAAAAGAAAATCTATACTTTAAAATATTTTAAATATTATGCACTCAAAAAGAAGGTACTTACAAATAACAAAATAATAAAATAAATATAAACAATTAGACATATTTTATGTTATAATAAGTATAAATACATTGAAATATTATTAAAGATATTATTAAAGATTTTCTATAAATGCGAAATTAAAAAATATTTTATTTTTTCATTTCTATATATATAATCATATTTTGCAGGTAGAGCAATGGAGACTTGAAGTTGCACGACGTTTGTCAAGTTTGGAGAAACTCGATGGTGAACCTATAATACGTACAGAAGAAAATCCAATTCAACTCGTCAAAACTGAAAGTCCGTCGCACGATTTACTTCAAGAACCTGTCTAATATTTGAAATAGTTTATTTTCTTACATATTTATTTTGATATATATTTTTATAATAAAATTTATAAAATTTAATTGTTTAGTAAATCTAACTTATTTCTGGGAAATAAAGATAAATTAAATAATTAAATTAAATAAAGATAAATAAAGATCTCTTTAATCAAACAGATATTTTCAAATTAGATTAATACTAAC